GGTGACTTGACAACATTAGGAGCATGTGTATAGGTTTCCCAAATCCTGAGGGGACTGGAGGAGAAGGGATTGTGATATGGCCATCCCCCCTGGGGGAGTGATTTCTCACTTTTCATCTTTCTCTTCTCTCTCCCTCTCTAGTGATGGTATGCCCCTGCTTTATGGTAAAAAAAAAAAAAATCCTCCCAAGGAGTTGACTTTAAGTTTGAAATAATGAAAACATTTTGCTGGTTGGAACCAACATAAAAATGGAAGTGAACATCTTGAAAAGTAATTTTTTTCTATTATTAGAACTGTTCAATTATAGACTAATTAATGCCTTTGTAAACATTAAAGTAAGAAGTCAATGAACTCTGACTTTTCTGTTTGGTTTTTTTTTTTTATAATCTTAGTTAAATGTGTTACATTCAAATACTAGTTCAAATATAAATGGGTCATTGAAATCTGTGTCATTTAACATTTAACACTAATTAATGTATTTTTACTGAATATATGTATAATAATGTGTGATGTGTAGATAGATGAATGATTTGATGATAGATCTTCAGCACCCTGAACTTGGTAGCTCTCTGCTCAAACCTAGTAGCTATGTAATTCATAGCTCATTTGCACTCATTCCCTTGCTTTGTTCTAAAACTCTTTACAAATAGTCTCCCTTCTCCCCTGAGTGTACAGTGGTTGGTTCTAAGCTTGGCTCATTTCGATCAGAAGTATGTCTATGACATTTAAACTTTGTCTATTAATTTCAGTCTGGAAATGACACTACCAAAGTTAAAGGTTCAAATTATTGCTATTTTAAGTCATGATTACCAACTTTGGACCATGTCTCAGCTAGTTTGTTTTACCAAAAAAAATTTAATTAGATAATACTCAAGAGAAAAACTATATTCATTGTTTCCCTTACAGATATATTCCTTTATAAATGAATGATTTTACTTATATTATTGATTATAAAGATGGCTAAAAGGTTTAAAAGTATTTTAAACAACTTTTCATTCAGAGTTTGTGAGAATTTTGTTAGGCCTCTAATTTACTTATTTATAGTCTCTACATAAAAATTTTTATAGAGAAATGACTATATGGGAAATGTAACCCTGCACTAAATAAGAAACTTTTTTTTGGGGGGGGGTGTTCTGCTGTAGGGCACCAGAGAGAGAGAAAGAGACAAAAACAGACAAAGGAAAAGTGATAAATCACCTCCCTTCCCCAGAGAGGATGGCCATGCTGCAATCCCTTCACTTCCATTTTCCTCTTGGGATTTTTAGGCATGCCTGGAGTGATTTTCAAGCCTCTAGGTTTGGGACTCAAACTGCAGTTGGCCATGTAGGATTCTAGCACTTTAACCACCTTGCCACCTGTGGTAGATAAGAAACTCCTAGATGAATGATTTGAAAAAGTATGGCACATAGACACTATAGAATACTACTCAGCCATAAAAAACAATGAGACCCTGGTATTTTATAGAAAGTGGATGAATATGAGTGGCTTAATGGTAATTGTAGCAAGCCAGTCTATGAAAGAGAAGCACTGTATGACCCCACTCAATATATACTGAATTTGATGGCAGAAATGGAAAGATAGAGCAACTGTAGATATTAAAGACAGTGTGGGAGGAGGGTGGGTAATGAAGGGTGGGTAGAAAGATGGGAATCAAAGTAAAAAAAGAAGGAGAACATTTAGCGGACACAAAAATTCAAAATTATCTGTTGATAATATGTATAGTAATATCTTTGACTGGACTAATATACAGTGTATTCATGCTGGGAAAATTCACTGTGTATGCTGTAAAGATGTACAATGATTATGCAAAAAAGTTTAAAAAAAAGGAGAAAAGAAAAACATTTAAAAGTTCATAAGAAAAATGAAAAACTAGAAAAAAAAATAAAAAGAGCAAATTAAATCCAAAGAAAACTTAAATGGAATGGAAGGCCAGCTCATGATCCAATGGGTAAAGTGGCTAGATCCCACATGACCAACTATGTTTTTCAGGCTGAACTGAGCAGCTTGAAAAACACTCTGGATTCATGTGCATGCATACCCAAAATCCTAAAAGGAGGGAAAGATGGAGGAGAAGGGATTGTGGCATGACATCCTCTATGGGGGTGCTTTCTCACTCTCTCTCTCTCTTTTTCTCTCTCTCTGGTAAGCCCATGTGCCCTCTGACAAAATTTTAAAGAAAGAGCTACAACTATCAAAGCTCACTGAAGAAGAAATTGATAGCCTGCAGAGTCCCATATCTATTTTAAAAATTAAATTGCGATTAACATTTTTCTGCCAAAAACCCTCCAACCCAAATATTAATTCTATAAAACATTTAAGAAAGAAATAATACCCAATTCTCTACAGACTTTCAGAAAATTGAAGAAAACACTTCACATAATCATTCTGCAAATAATTGGCTGAATAGCATGACCCATATAGAAATGAAGGTGCTTATGAAATATCTATGGAGATAACCAACACAACTCAGGAACCAGAGACATGAAGTTTGGAATGTATATTTGAAATCATAACCACAGGCCACGAGAAAGATGAGATCATGGGGGAAGAGTCCAAAAATAAGAAGAGAACTAAGTATAAAATCCATGGTACAACATGTAAAAGAAGATTGTGTTAGGAGCTGAGAAGGAAGAGCTAAAGAAGAACAAGGAAAACCAGTATAATGTGATGCAATGAGAATCAAGAAGGAAATTTCAGGATTAAGGAGTAGACAATTGACAATGCTAAAAAGAAGTTTAAGATGATAGGAAATTTTGCATCTGATATAATAATGGGTTGGAATTTTCACACTAGAATTCAAGTACACAACAAAAAAGTGATTTTAAAAAATTAAGAAGTGTTAGTCGCATATAAATAATTTATTTGCTAATCCCTAACAATTTCTATTTATTAAAACACCAACCCTAAGGTTACTTGAAAGTTACTCTATCTTAATAATAAGCTGTTTTAAGCTACCATTATTTTAAATCTAGCCAGATAAATAAATCTCTATTATTATATAACATTTTTTTTTTGAGAGGTTTTGCTATAGGGCGCATGCGCTCGCCAGAGAGACAGGGAAAGACAGAGAGATAGAAAGCGAGAAATCACCCTCCAGGGGGGATGACCACTCCGCAATCCCTTCTCCTCCATTCTCCTCTTGGGATCTTGGGCACACACGCACACGCGCCCGGCGTGAGTTTTAAGCCACCGGGTCGTGGACGCGAACCGCAGTCAACTACATGTGAGTCCGGCGACCTAGCCATTACGCTAACTGCTGGTCCCTATTTTATAACATTTTTAAAGGAAGTAATTTAACTAAGAGCTTCAATAATTAAAATCCATCAGTATCATAATTTTAGAAGACTACTTTATCTCCTAGTTTTTCAGTGCGTAGACCTATGATCATTTGCCTTGGTACAAATGAGTCTTAAGAAGTGAAAGTAAAACTGTTCTAGGAGGATAAGAATCTTTAAATGACTTAAAGAAAATGATAGTTTTTGTTTGTTTGTTTGTTTGTTTTTCATTTACTAGAGGGCTTGTGCGCTTGCCAGAGAGACAGACAGAAAGAGAGGAAGAGGAAGAAAGCACCCCCCCTACCATCACCACCACGGGAAATGGTCATGTCAAATCCCTTCTCCTCCATTTCTTCTTCCTTTGAGGATTTTGGGACTGTGTGAGCATAAACATGTGCCTGGTATGTTTTTCAAGCTCTCTGGTCTGGGACTTGAGCTGCATGGTTGGCCATGTGAGAGCCATCACCTTTAACCACTAGGCCACATGCTGGCCTAATAAATATTTTTTAAAAACATATTTCATCTTTGTTATCAGCTTTCCTATGCAAGGTTTAGGCACCCAAATTATCTTCAGTCATTTATTTAGACAGAGAGCACTTAATGATACTCAGAATACACGAGAAGAAAACTCTAATGTCTGCAAGTTGGACAACTAGGAGAATCCCTCAGAAAATAAGGAAATAAGTAGGTTTGAACTCTGGCAGTCTATGTACCATAGATTATAGGAAGAACTTACCAGTCAGTTACTAATGAGCCAGAATGTTTAATAAAATGTAAAAATACTTTACGTAAGTCATGGTGAATTCGCGTCAATTATATGACAATGGCAGAAAACCCTCAACAATTACTTCCTAAAAGAAGTAGCACCTGTGTCATTTGAAAATAAGATAGAATGCTTCTTACTAGTTTGTAAGTTATCTAAGGCGTTTTGTCTCAGATGGGTGTACACACACAAAGTATTGTTCCTCTCAGTCTTCATAGGTTTGTTAAGGGCCACGTCAAAGAGCTGCATAATTAGCTAAATCCTATCCTGGGATTTTAAGCATTCCTACCAGTGTTTACTTAGACTGAAGATGGTTCTGGATAACAGACATGGGCCAGAGTATAATAAACTTAGTTTTCTCTCTCAACTTCCTCTCTCGTAGCAAAATACAACTTACCAATGAAGACTCTCTCATTTTCCTGAATTCTGTAAACCACTTTCTAAACTGCCCTTGAGTTTTTTATATAAAATAGAATTTCAATTATCACACAATTTGGCTTTCACAAATCATCTTAATTAAGTACATTCCACCATTCTCTGTGTTTATTGTTTTCTATGTCTTTTTTGTTTGTTTAAGAGAGGTGTTTTGCTACAGGATGTGTGCACTGGCCAGAAAGACAGGGAAAGTGAGTAATCATTTTCTGGGGGGATGGCCATGCTGCAATCCCTTTTTCCTTCATTTCCTCTTGGGATTTTGGGCAAGCATACAAACGCCCAGCATAAGTTTCAAGCTGCTGGGTCCGGGACTTAAACTGACGTCAACCATGTGTAAGTCTAGTGCTTTAACCACCGCAACACCTGCTCGCCTGATTATGTTTTATATCTTAAGTTTAACATGAATTAATTTCTCATTAGCCTAAGTTGAAGTAAAATAAGGCATAGTTTTCAAATGTTCTCTCCAAAAAACAAACAAACAAAACGCAGACTTCTAGTTTACTGTCAAAGAACATTCTCACACTTACTTGAAACCGGTAAAAGGTGCCATCATCCTTGAGTGTGAGGACGTGATCTGAGATTGGAAAGAAGTAGCCATGAGCAGCCATTACTCCCCAGCCATTAACGTTCCCAAATGGAGCGCCTCCACTGTTTCATGAAACAAACAAGAAAGACATCAAAGCATTTTTTAACTGATTGGTCTCGGAGGGGTAATATTCTCTTTGGTTCTCATTGACCTATTTTTTTTTTAAGAAAATATTTACATGTCAACTACTTGAATTGTTGAAAAGCAAATGCCCAACACACAAGTCACACATAAACCTTGTCAATTCAGTCCTGCCTACCAAGTATCCTGCGATGTACCATTTGCTAGCAAAGATCAGTCTCTTTTTCTTCCTTCAAAGTCTTTCTCAAGATAATTCTCTGGTGTGGTTGCTCTTTTGCAATCTCTACTGATTACAATGCTGGCCTGGAAAAGTCCAGGTTATTTTATGTTACAAATTCTTCCATATATCTTCTCTAACCCTCTCTGCCAGGCAGAACTATTTAGGGTGCCAGGCCATCTTTCTAAGAGTTTCTGTTGGCTTACTTGAGATCCACCTTAGTTCCATAGTTTTCTGATTAATCTTTTTTTTTTTTTTGAGAGGTTTTTTTGCTATAGGGTGCGTGCGCTCGCCAGACAGAGACAGAGAGACAGAAAGCGAGAAATCACCCCCCAGGGAGGATGGCCACGCTGCAATCCCTTCTCCATTCTCCTCTCGGGATCTTGGGCACGCATGCACACGCACCCGGTGTGAGTTTTAAGCCACTAGGTCCGGGACTCGAACCGCGGTTGACTACGTGGGAGTCCAGCGACACAGCCATTACGCTAACTGCTGTTCCCACTTTTCTGATTAATCTTGATGTATGACATTCCAGTCAAAGCCCTGTCCAACAATGAATATTTCCAATTTCTGATTCAATGCAACAAGCATTACTGAACTTATGGAAATAACCCTTCTACCACAAAATATGAATACTCCCCAATATTTTCCAATTCCAGAGGAGTCAGGAGGAAAGAAAAGGTTCCTGCCTTTATATATTTGCTTCTTTTTGACAGGTATTTTACTCAAAGTACTTGAATGAATCTGATTCTGGGAAGTGATGACAGTGACCAGCCTTGTCCCATGAGGACTAGCTCACAAGAAGATAAAGTTATGGAGACCAGAAACAGGAAGGCACTTTTGAATCTTCAGAATGTGGCTCCCTCATTTCTGGACAGAACATGTGCTTGCTCTATGTTTCTTCTGCAAGCAATTCCATTTGGCATTTATATAGCACTTTAAACTTCTACAAGTTTTCACTCTCATCACTCCCTTCTCTATCAAGGACACTGAATACCAATAGCAATTTTTCTAATGATGTGGATCATTATTACATGATACTAACAGAGAATGTTAAGACCTGTAACTGTTAAATTTTTCTATGTCGTGGGATGCTATAATGACCCTTGTATTGTTACCTAACATTCACAAACATTTTAGCTGGTAACTTCTACCTCAGTCACCCCCCTGTATTGTTCTTGCTGATAATAAAGAACAATTGCCAATGATCCTTTGCCATGTCCCAGGAAAGCTGTTATTAAATGCCCTTGTCATCCTCTCCAAATACCCAATCAAGTCTCTTTTCATACAATATTTTTCTACAAAGGAGCAATTTTTCATTAAATAAACATACATGCAATATGTGTGTAAATACACACTCACATTGTTTTTCATCATTTCCATTTTCTTTCAGTTCACAGTCAAGGCCTTTTCAAAGCATTCACTGTTTACAGCAACATCCCTATGTACCCTTGTTAAAACTTTGTAGCTACCATGACACTGGGAAGAACAAAGACTTTGGAGAGACCCACTATCTTGTGCTAGTCAAATGTTCTATTATTAAAGATAATAAGCCCACCACGCAGGGCCCAGTGTGAGAATCACATCAGTATATATAGAATGAAGTTGGCATACTGTTTCCCGCATAGTAGGTAATCTCTTTGTGGCAACTACTGTGCTTCATTACTTATACAGTGAATGATTTTTACTTTCCTCCAAAGTATATTCAGAAAATCCACTTCCATAAATCATTTGCCTCAACTAGACCAAGTGAGAAAAGCTGACAATCCTACATAGTCATTTGCATCTTCTTTTGTTTTTGCTTTAATGATTATCTGTAAAATTAGAGTAGTAAGAGGATCTGTAAGGATAACTGGACCATAACAACGAGTAGGTACCGACAGCCTTGATCAAGTTCTGAGTCCCTGGACACCCCTGTCAGGGAGCATTGGGAAGAGAAATATACAACATCTGTTGTAGGATTTCAAAGTTAGGTGGCCTCCCATCTCTTATAGTCATCTTTGTTCATTTTAGTCTCAGCCATCTGTGGCCTAAAAAAATAGTATTAGCACACTTTCCAGAAAGAGAAATTAAGTTATGATGCATATAAAGTTTGCAGAACTTAGATACAAAAAAGAGAAACTGAGACATGAAGAAAATAAAGAGAAGATGGGACCAGCAGTTGGTGTAATGGCTATGTCGCTGGACTCCTATGTAGTTGACCACAGTTCGAGTCCCGGACCCGGTGGCTTAAACTCACGCCAGGTACATGTGCATGTGTGCCCAAGATCTTGAGAGGAGAATGGAGGTGAAGGGACTGTGGCGTGGTCATCCCCCCTGGGGGTGATTTCTTGCTTTCTCTCTCTCTTTCTCTGTCTTTCTGACAAGTGCACGCACCCTATAGCAAAAACCTCTACAAAAAAGAAAGAAAGAAAGAAAGAAAGAAAGAAAGAAAAGAGAAGAGCTTCCAAGCCAGACAAAAACAAACAAACAAACAAACAAACAAAAACCACAAAACCCACAGAGAAGAGTCTAAAATTTTAAAAAAGTAAAAATGAAAATAAGTGGGCAAGCTAGTAGAGTAGTGGTTAGTGCAATTGGATCCTGCATGACTGACTGTGTGGTTCAAGTCCCAGAACTGGCAGAACTGGCAGTTAGATAAACATGCCCGTACTTGTGCATGCCCAAAATCCTGAAAGGAGAGAAGAAGGAGGGATTGCGACATGGCCATTGTCCAAGAAATATGCTGTTTCACTTTCCCTTTCTTTCTGTCTCTGATGAACATGAGCAACCTCTAGCAAATTAAAATAAGTAAGTAAGTAAATAAATAAAATAAATAACAACAAAAAATGGAATGCTACAGTGTTGATGATGATTATAAAAACGTAGTGAAAGCAAACACTGGTAGGTTGAAAAAGAAAATCAGAAGCGAATGAATGCAAGAATGTTCTTGGCTCCCTGTACCTGCTTAGATATTAACTTGATTATAGATCATACTTTTGTTTTTTTTTTGGGGGGGGAGAGATTTTCATTGTAGGGCGCATGCGCTCGCCAGACAGACAGAGAGACACATAGAGACAGAAAGTTTATCATCTGAAGTTTTTTAAAACTGAAGTTTATCATCAGACTGAAACTTTCAGGAAGATGATAGATCACAAAACAGGAGCTATCAGTTCTTTCTGAAAACAAATGATTTTTTCTGAAAACAGGAGATTCCATCCTACCTGAATTATAACTATTAAAAAACAAACAAAAACTTACGGACATCTTGTGCCTTTTTTTAGAAATGGGCCCCTGAAATAGTTCAAGATGCTACATGGAGTCACTGGACTTTTCATTTCATGAATATCCTTATTTCCCTAATATGTTCTTCCTTTACCTTCCGGAATCACTGCCTCCATACTTTTCTCAAGACCAGACAAAGTGACTAGAGGTGAACACAAGGTCATCCTATTCCCTTTAGGGTAGAACTTAGCCAGTCACTGTTGTACAAGACTCTCTGCTACTTCCTCCTCCCATTTGCAATTTTTGACTTTAAAATCATTCCAAACTCTGTAAAATCTCGGTACCTGTTATTTGGAAGAACTTAGATTTCGTAGTGCCTAGGCAATAGCCCTAACCCTGGCCCCCCAAATTTTTGCTTTACCTACTTTGCCTCAGCCTTCCTTTATAGGTTGAATGATTGAAGCAAATAATTTGATTTAATATTTAAGAAGAATAATCTTACAACAATGCTTTTAGAATTATTCTGAGGTCGTTAATCAAATAGTAACCTAGAGAGACTTAAATGATAGATACTGCATGCTCCAGTATAGAAACTCCTGGAAACATGGCTCCAAGGCGGGATAAATGCTTAGATGAAAAATTAGGAAGTTGGGGTACTTTTTTTTTTCATTTAAGGCTACGAGCGTGGCAGTTAGCTTGTCAATAGCAAAAGTAGCTATTAAATCAATATTTGCTAAGTGAATGAACAAGTATCTAAATCAAAAATATGAAAAGGTACTACATGAAAAATATCAAACTACTTTGTGTTGTGATGGAGAGCAGCTTGTTCTGCTCTTCTAAAACAATCTAGATGCTCATATTCTCTTTTCAAAATCCTTTCACAAGCTTTTGAGGTGGGACTGATGTATCTATGTTGTTGTGGCCAAGATAATACTAGTAATATTAAGAGCGTGTCTGGGACCAGCAGTTAGAGTAATGGTTATGTCACTGGACTCTCATGTAGTTGACCATGGTTAGAGTCCCGGACGCGGTGGCTTAAACTCATGCTGGGCACGTGTGTGTGCATGCTCAAGATCCCAAGAGGAGAGTGGAGGAGAAGGGACTGTGGTGTGGCCATCCCCCCTCGGGGGGGATTTCTCACTTTCTGCCTCTGTCTCTCTGTGTCTCTCTGGAGAGCACACACACACACACACACACAAAGAGCTTATCTGTCAGTAAGAGATCTTAGAATGGGTCTGAGGAGTATTCTCAAGTTGACTTGTTCGTTGTTAGTGAAAAAGACAGAGGCACACTCCCCTGCAGTCCCACTGCTCAGAAATCTCAGCATCACCTTAACCCAGTAAGAATCTGAAAGACCACTGACCGTCTGGGAACAAAGTGTTGAAAGAGTTTAATGAGTAATCCATCAAGATCACCCTCTCAATAATGGTATACCAGATGGCTCAGCAACTGGCAAAATAATCACTAATTAATCTTCTTGTACATGTGCTATTCGCTTCACCCACACAGCTCAAGTTCAACAACAAACCTATCAAAAAATTTCAGTTTTTGTTTGGATAT